GTCTAAAAATTAGCTCACTGGGCCATGCCATTCTTCACTGATTTTTAATGTTCAGCTCAAATTCAAGGATCTTATCAGGTGCATTTTCAAAAGTGAACCACAATAACCTTTAGCTTTAGACCATTTCCATATTAGGTATTTCTTGGTTAGCTACAAAATTAGCATTTAGCCCTCCAGGGCAAAATATGCCATATTTTGTTTGATTAATTTGTAATTAAAATTTAAGCAGGTATGTCTTATTCCTAGCAGATGGAGGCAAAGGCATAGCTTTGACCTTAGTTACAGTTTTGTTTAACCCCCTCCAGAGAAACATAGTTACTGTGCATTAATATACAGCCTTTCACCACCAGACCTGTTAGTGTACATTATGGACTAATAATACTAATTATATTGTCAAACAATTCAAACTGCGTAACAATATAAGCTCCTCTGAAATGAGAAGCGCTATAGGTAATGAAACCTACTTTCCTTTATACAGCCAGCTCAAACCTCTTTTTGAGCAATCTGATGTTAAATAAATAATAGGCCTGATTGCCCTCTCCTCCAGGAAAAACCATGGGAGGGAGCAGAGTGGGCAGAAATCTCCAGGACGTTTTCCTTGTCGAGATTGTGCCCAGGCTTTTTCTTGGGGGTGAGCTTGCTTATTCCCTACATTGCCCTCTCTTCCCATGCATGTGAGTGGGGGTGTAAAAAGACAACTCATGTGGAGGAGATTTTTGTGAGGGCCTAAGACAGGGAAGGAGAGGAAAGATGTGCTGTCTCTGGCACATAGTGGCCACCCAGGCCACCACAAATGGCCATTGCACTTGTGGTTCCCAGGATACGCAGAAAGAACAAGCTGCCACAACAACAGCTCTTCTCTCCAGGACCACAGGGCCTGAAAGATAAGCAGAGCTTCCTCTTGGCTCCAGATGGCTCAAGATACGAGGAGGACACATACCCTATTATGACTTGAACAAGCATTTACGACCTAAACATTTCCAAAGTGCAGTAGTACAGGTCTCTGAGCCACCAATGAACTCAATATACCTTGATGACTCGTGCTTTTCTCACTAGCACTTTTTGTGAAGTTATTCTCTCCTTGAAAACAAGACTGAAAGGAGCTTAATATGGAGAGCCATGAAGCAGGTGAAGCTCAAAGACTCATCCAATTTGGGTGCTGTAAAAGCAGGTAGATGTTTTCCTAACCTGGAGCGTGTTCTTGTGCAGGATTAGTGCTACGAGCAGAACGCCCAGGGCGCAGTGCAGCACGGGCTGCCAGTGAGGGGCTTTGAGGGGCTGGTTGGAGGGGCTTTGTTGGTAGTTGTTCATTTCCAACCATTTGTTCAAAAGTTGTTTCCCCACAGGTGAGATGCTGCAATAGTTATAGTTCATGTCAGCTACCATAAATCGTCACAGTCCGTGGGGCTGATTCTGCCCTGAACCATTGTGGGAGCACACACAAGATCATTAATGTGGCTGCTAGGATGACAGCCTTCAGCAGCGATGCAGTTACAAACATGAAGAGAAAATAATGTCTTTAGTTACTTCTGCTGTTTGAACATCTCTGTGTGATTGAGAACGCTATTGGAAAGCAGACACTTGCAGGCAAAGATGGAGGTGTCAGGAGAACATCATGGAGTGGGAGACAATCCATTAGTCCTCCTCACACATTGTAGACTGACATATGCCAGATGTAAACGTGTTCTTTTAAGTCAAAGCCATGTGTGAGAGAGAAAAAGATGAGGTGTGGTATAAAAAAGGAAAGATTTAGCTGCTTTTTCCACAGGCATTCCTTGACCTTGATGCTTTTTCCCTATGAAAACTCTCTGAGGTACACCCAGGTACCTCTGAGGTACTTGCCCTCACCATGCAAGATGCAGCTAAAATTTTCTGGCACCCGCCTGTGGTTTTTGCCCCACCACTTCAGTGTTCAGACTCACAACTGAAAAAGTACTGCTTGCTGCTTATGCCGGGTGAGGAGCAGTGCCAGACGTCCTTCCTCTGCAAGAGCACGGCCGCTCCCGCGCGCGGGCCCGGGACCCTCCGCGTCCCCCCGCGCCCCCAGCCACGGGGCTGGTCCGCGCTGCAATGCTGCCATCTCCTGGAAGAAACCCGAAGAGCAACGTCTGGCCCAGATTTTTCTGACAGTCTGATAGAAAAGTAGAGTTTCCCCTCTCCGTCATCGCTAACGCTGCACTTAGATTCGAAATGTTGAGTTGGAGGAGAATTTACCTGTAAAAGGCCAAAGGACTTGGTGCATACATATGAGCAACGGGCATGCAAGGGCTTGGTGCCTACCTGTGCGTGCCCTGCATATACCATCCTGGGAAACACTATATCCTGGTGACTATAGAAATGGCAATATAGACAGCTTAGGGAGCTGCACAGAAAATGTCAGCCAAGGCAGCACCCGGAGGCAAGCAGAGTAGATTTGCCAAGACTGTGCTGGGACTCATGTGAGGAAACTGTGGTTTTGAGAAGCTCAGCTGAAAAAAAAAAAAAAAATCCACGACTGAAATCCTGACTCGCACTTGTGTAACTCCCTGGATTTTGCTAGATTGGGTCCTGTGTAAGTGAGAGGAGAGCTAGGCCCTGAGCATACCCGTGGAGCTGAATGTTTCTTGCAAAGAAAACCTGGCTAAGTCATTCCAGCTAGTGCTCAGAGCTTTAGATATATGGAGAATAGGTCTGTCATACTTGGCCAGCAGTCCCCAGAGCACCTCTCCCCCTTTTCTGAGTTATATGTTGCCATAGTAATACTGCTTCAGGAAAAGATGGTAAGAATTGAAGTAACAGTGAAACTAGGTAAAGTTTCATTCTGTTCTGCAGAGCACTAAGCAGGTGGAAATGCTAACTACTAAGGCAAGAAAATAACTGGGATCTAAAGCATTTCTAAGAAAAAAATAAAAACCTCTAGAAAATTTGAGAGACCTATTAGTTCATTCTATCCACCCCCTAACAGTCAGAGAAACAGTGAACAACAATTCATCCTATAGCACACTGTACTGTACAGTAAGAGTCCAAATTCTCCTCCTACTTATATTGGTACAAATCAAGAAGCCAGCAGAGTTACACAGGTATAAAACTGGCATTATCAGTTCCTAGGTCTTTTTAAATACTACTGAAACCTACTGCTGATTCCTCCTTTGTTTGCCTGTTAGAACTGATTGTTAAAAATGCACATGCATTTATCTACAGCACACTGTATCATGTGAAGGGGTTCTTTTATTTGCTTTGATCTTTCTTTTTACTTTTATTATGTCTTTGAAGAAACGCAGGATTATTATCTCAATTCTAGCCAGCTGGCCTGCTGGGGCTCCCTTTGCTACATCAGGGGTTTCTCTTTTTTCTAATCTTCTCTTTACGGATAATCCTTCTCCACCTTCTAATGACTCTTGGCAAAGGAGAGTATTTTGTTATTACTACCTGTTGTTTAGAAATTCATTTTATTTAGTGTAGGTGTTGCTAACTGTTTGCTAATGAGAACTTTATTGCAATCAATGCAGGTCAGGATTATGCTGGTCTTTGTGGCAATTAACCCTTTCATACTATCTATTCTTATTTAGATTTTGCCATGCACGCCTCAGATTTTAAATAACAAGCCTAATTCTACTTTTTGGGCCCAAGGTAGAGGGTTCTGTGCACTTCCAAGAAGCACTGGGTACATTTCATGCCCATGAGACTTTAGAAAAGGCAGAAGTTGGAATTTTGTAATCTGCAAAATATTTGTACATGCAAATGCAGTAATGTCTAAGGGAAGACCTAGAGCAACATTTTTAGCACAAATCTACATCTTAGGGCAAGAATGAAGATCATTCTGTTTTGCAGAAATGTGGATACTCTCAGGCCAAGGGCAGTCACAGCTCATCTGTGGCTGCAAGTCACTCCCATACTGAGCAGCCTCAGGGCCTCTGTGAATTAATTTTACTTCAAAATAAGTTTGTTTTTAAAATCCTGAGCCTGAATATCTTCATATTCTGGAGATCTCAGATTTGAATAATATGGCTCAGAGTAGTCTTCATGTTTTACATGATATATACTATATTGGGTGTAATGAAGAATTCTGCACTGTAAAAGACCAAAGTAAAAGACCAAAGTAAAACCAGAAACACTACCATTGTTGATGGAGGTAACAACTCTAACAAGCAAGGAAGGAATTAATACTGAAAAAAGAGCAGGAGAGAAAAGATCGTATCTTAAAGGCCTAGATAGCTTTTGTTTGTTTGTTTCAGTGTTGTCCTGGTTGCTGAATACCAATGTGCTTTCACTAACTTTTTTTCATCAGTCTAAACCTTTCTGAGTTCCTTTGACAGCTGACTGTATAAGGCCAAAGCATTATGGTACATCACTAGGATGTTATTCAGCTGATCTCTCCATAATAAAAATACAAATGTCTTTATTATTTTTCCAGTCTTCATTGCCAGTTCTGCAGGATTCCAGACAACAGTGCTACTGTGTGTGACTGATGGCACCTCGTCAGTCTTGTGTAACTATATTACTCATTTGCTCATTTAGGCTCAAAGCTAAAACAGGTTGGCTCTGGCTTTCCAAAGCTGGCTTCAGCAAAGGCTCCTTTTTTGAGCAACTCAGTGAGCAAAAGGGGAAAAAAAAGAGGAGTAGGAGAACTGGGGCAAACTAGGTGTAAAACTGAGTAGCCAGGGCTGCTGCTTAGCTTGCAGCAGGTTGCCTTTCTGGTAACTCTCTAGGGGAATGAGGGAGTGAGAAACCAGGGAAACCTGGATACTGCAACAGACCTGAGCTTCTCCCATGGCTGTCTGGGTGATACTCCCCATCCTCTCCCATACAGCTCATACTTCTTTGGCTCAGATAGAGGCTATCTAAATGCACAATAGCAACTCAGGTCTGGCACCAGCCAAGCTGCATGTTCTCTGCATTGATCCCAGGCAGCAAGCCCGTCTCAGAGGCAGAGATAGCCATGTGGCCCTGGGCCCAGCTGACACTGCGGCTGAGCTGAGCCACCCCGCCAGGCTGAAGGTAGCACTGGCAAGGCTTCTTACCTTGGGGTGAATGCCAGGCACTGCAGGTGACTGCCGCTGGCTTCAGCAATAGCACCATGGCGTTGGCATGGCACTCTCAGACATAAGTTAATATGCCAGGCTAGACCCAAGCGGGCTTTGCCTAGGGCAATCTTGAGTATCTCTGCACCCGTGGCACAGGTTATCAGCAAATTGGACAGTCTGCCACAAACGATGAAGAGCTGAACTCCTACATGCTGGGCCATTCACCTTGCCCTGTAAGTCCGTGAATGCTTGCTGGCATAGTGCGGTGTTAATTCAGCTGAATGCTGAAATGGCTCAGCAACGAACTAGGGCCAGGCAGGACTTTCAAAGACCTAAACAGCTCAGGCACAAGATACAGAGCATGGTGTGCTGGTGCTAGGGAGATCCTGGAGGAGACATGCAGAATAAGAGATGTTTTGGCCCACAGGCCACGGTGGTAGAAAAATCTCTGTAATTCTGAATATAAAATACAACAGATCCAATTTAGACAATTTTTGCAGAAGAGGGCTCCAAATGGTATGCCATTGTCAACTCAAAGGATTAAAAATGTAGGATGGGACACTGCAAATGCAATACACTTGTTTGGAGTCAGAAGGACTTTTAAAATCTATGTAGAAGTTCTCCTTCATCTCTTTCTCCCCTTCACTCACCATTTTCAACTCATCTCTCTCACTCTTTTGCCCATCCAGATCTCCATTACTGGGGCTAGATTCTTTTCCTGCTTTCAGTCAAGGTCATCTCAGCAGTTTCAGCTTTGGAAACCAGACAGCAACTGCTGCTGCCTATGTGCCCTAAACAAACAAACAAGCAGCAGAGGAAACTTGAAAACCTCCTGATTCTGTCCAACTACTTTAAAAGCAGAGAGCTTTTAAAGAGTGGGGACAGTGAACCTTTACCACGAACAGACAGGTCCAAGCTCTCATTGCACAGTTCCTTTCCTACACGTTTTTTATCTCTAGAGAAAAATGGTAATATTATGATTTGAGGCGAGGGCTGGATATTTGCTCTCCTGGCTTTGGATGCTCAAAGGAAGAAAAAAAGCCTCCGTCACTCAGATAGACCTGGAGGGGTGACCCAAGTAGGAAGGGCAAACTATTGACTTTCATGCTAGTGTGAAGAAAGTCATGTAGAGAAAGTAGGACGGCACAGCTGGCTCTCCACGCATAACAACAAATTTGGGCACCAAGCACATAAGTCCAGGGAACGTGTTGAGCTGAGCAGAGACTCATGACCAGTGAAATCCATGAAAGTGCACGTCGTGTTTCTTGGAATTGCCTGTAGTTTGCCCTTTAGAGGTTCTTACGAAGATCCATTAACCCCTTACCCAAGCACATTTCTGTGAAATAGTAAGCAACGTGATAGATCCTTGTCATCACATGAGTTTACCTGGTCTCTTTTACCCTCTCTCAAGCGCTTCATAGTGCAACATTTTAGGACAGCCTTTAAGAGGTTCTTCCATAGTTTTGCACCTGCAGCTGAGAAGGATTTGCCCCAATCCCTGAACCAAGGACTTTAGCTTTGTAGAGGAAATGCCGTTTACATTTCAGGAGCTGCTAACCAAAGTCCTATTCCTGAACTTTGAGGAGGCCTTTGATCTAGCTTCATGCCATACCAGTAAGTGCTTTGACGATTAACTCCACCACTTGGAATTTGACTTCAGCAAAGCACTGTAGGGGGGACACTTAAGGTATTGCTGAGGAGCTGCCAGCAGTCTTCTGTCAGCGTTTCTTACAAGTTGTTTCACTACTTCAGCAAAATTGACTTTCTCATTAAATCCTCTGCCTTGACAATCATTTGTTTTTTCAATACATTTCTCTACATTTTCTTAACCATTTGGTCATGTTGTAACACTATGGGATTAGGTGGGAGAGGGCTGTTTATATTTTGAGATCTGTTGTGATAACCTATTTAATCTTGTATACTCTGGAGGAACTATCCTAATTCATGAAACACTGCATTTTCCCATGAGTTCATCTGGCTTCAGTCTTGCTTAAGTCTGGCTGAGCTGTCACTATTTATTTGTTCTCATGAAGATCAGTGCAGTTTTTTCTTACAATGCAAGACTTTCAATATATTCCAGTATGGATCTCAGTGGGTCTCTCACCTTGGGTGCAAAATCAAGCAGATACAAAATGAAGCTGGAGATTCACTCATAAGCCATGGTTTCCAGCAACTTTGGCTAGACATATGGAGATAAAAAATATAACAGTAGCGGCACAGGAAATAAAATGTAGCTATTTTGAAATATCTTTTTAATCGCAGAGCTGACTTTTCTACATTAACACAAAGGCTTCTGAATGAGGAGTTTTTTTTCCCATAATAGTAATCTTTTTGCTATTAAATGCTTTTTTCCCTTTCTCTACTTCTGGACTAAATAAATGATGTAGAGACACATGACTGGCTTGGTGAAATCAGACGCTTAGCAACACTAAGACCAGATGCCCATGCAATAGAGTGCCAAAGGAAAATGCTGGTGTCCTCTACGGTTGGGAAAAAATGACTGGATCAAATGACTCCATGGCAACCTGGTGGGTAGAAACTGCAGGGGCACAATCACAGTCCTTGGAGTGCTGCGGCCAGTGGCAAACCTGGAGAGCTGCTGTCTATCATCCAGCCGTTACTCTTGCAAAAGTGTTGTAGACTTTTGCAAGTGTGCTTGCACCGTTTAACTGACAGTGACAATCAGCACATAATATGCTGCCTGCTCTCATACTGGTGATAGCAAAGAGGCGGCATTCTGTGGCTTCTGCCTGTTCTGTTAATTCTTATTTCTTCTTTGTGAGGATTTCAGTGTTTATACCATAACAAAAAATCTACTTCATGGAGTGGCTCAATAGCTTAATGTGATTGCACTGCAAACCACTTATTTAAATGAAAAAGGAAATTTCCAGCCCTCTTTTCTGGGGGGAAAGCTTGAAACTGTGACTAAATTAAACCTACATTTTCAAAGCAGAAAGCAAATATAAAAGCTCAGAAGATATTTTATTTCTGAATTCATTACTTTTAAGCCAATTTCATTATTTCTGGTGGCTAAGAAATGGATTTTGAATGTTTGATGACAAAGTTGTTATTCAGAGCTACAGTTAGTGAAAAAAAGAAATTGTCAGATTGCTAAGGAGCAATTCTTAGCAGTCAGTAAAGAGCAAGAGTAACCCCTCTGGATGGATGCTGTGGTTAGCCCCTTAAAGTCATGTGGTTCACAGGCCCATCTATTCTATAGAGTAACTAGACTGAAGTCACTGGCTTGAAGCACTGAATAAACAGCCGTTTCATCAGAATCTTTGCCGCTGATGCCCTTGGTTAAGCTGAATCATAACCCACCAGGAAAGAGGTAGTCTGCACTTTTTGCATGAGTTTAAAAGGTTAAGTTATTTTTCCCAATAAAATATGTTGGTTAAGGAGTCAAAGCGTCAGTGTGAACCTTATTCTTCCATTTTCTGCTAGGTGAGAAGAAAAAGGGCTATGTGATCCCTGCACTTGACTGGCACTGAGGGCATCTGGATTGACTTTTCAGGATCTGCTAGAGACTTCCTGTCTGTTGGTGAGCAAATCAGCGTTGGAAAAATCCATGTAGAAAAGTCTTCCTGACTTCACAATACTTCTGATTTCTTATAATCTATGCTAAGATGTAACTAGGTGGCAAATTATACTTGGCAAGACTGTGGGAGCTAATGAGAAAAAGAACTGGGCTACAGTTGGTGGGAATCAGAACTGGGAAAGAGGTCAAAGCAGCAATTGTATTTGGAGCTGCCTACCACATGGAAAAGATACTGGATTCTGATGGTCAGGCCTCAGACACCTCTGGAAAGCTGCGAAGAGGCCACAGTGCTGGAAGCTTTCGTTTGCACAGACACTAGAATGTCACTTCTTAAACTGTGAGGAGAAACTTGAATTGCAGCTGAGCAGAGTTACAATGGCTGATTATAATACAGAGCAAAGTATTTCTAGTAGCAAAGGCCTGAAGCATATCAATTCTTTCAGCTAGTTGCATTGTGTGTAATTCTTGCTTATACTTGCTGTCATGCAATAGAGTTAAAATTTACAATCTTATTGATGTGAAAAGATATTTTATATATACTACTTTGTTAGCCGTTTTGTTTCCTAATAATTAATCAAACCTCCTAAGAAGTATCATGTTGGGGAGTATGGATTTATTTGTGTTATTAAGCTATTCTAGCAGAGCATTTCTGTGTGGTAACAGCTCTGCTACAATATGGCCCTCTTGTTTTATGACAAGTTACAATTTTCTTGTAATGTTAGCTGCAATTCATCTCAATAATTATGCTAAATTAAGTACTCATGCACATATAGAAATAAACATTAAGATACATTAAAATAAAGTAAGAAACATAATTTAATCTCTCTGAGCTAAATAGAGCAGGGGTTGCTTAGCAGTCCTCAACTGTCTAAGCCTAGCTTAAGAACCCCATGGTTTTGAGTCTCTAGG